CAGTATACCTTAGAAGGTTTTGTAAAAAGGGGTGTAATTTCAAAAAGGGTCCAGTATACGGCTTTTTCTTCCTAAGCGCTAAGCCCTCAACCCGAAAAAAAAAATGCGGGTTTAGGCTTAGTATAGGGATCTTAGTAACCCCTAAGGACCCATGTACCCGAATAGTATATACTTTTTGCACAAAAGTACCTAAATAGGGACTAAGGCTACTTTGGCCCCAAAGTACCTATATAGGGACTACTTTAAGGCCAAAGCATACACTATTTGGATGCATGGACCTTTGGGGAATTAGAATTGGGGCCTAAACCGTTTGGGGTTGGCGAAGGCACGAGCGCTCTCTTCGCAGCCCCTGCGGCCACATCGTCGCCGGCGCCAGCTGCTGCAGCTCGGCCCATCTTTGGTCACATATGGTGTGTATGTATATATATATATATGTGTCTATGTATATTTGTATACATATGTGTGTATGCACAAGCATGCACATACTTGACATTGCATTGCATTCCATTCTTTTTCCGTTACGTTCCATTTCGCTGCAGTGCCTTTAACTTTTCCTGCTTACCTCTGTTTAGCCTTTACTTTTACCTTTTCACCTTTTACCTTTCCCTTAATCTACCGGAAGTTTTTACCTTTCACCGTTACCCTTTACCTTTACCTTTGCCTTCACCTTGACCTTCACCTTAACCTTTACCTTTAACCGAACTTTTGCCTCTGCCTTTATGAGTATTAAGTACGAGTCTTACTCTTTTTTGGGCTCTGCATCACAATTATACAAACCCTAAACCCTAAATCCTAAACCCTATACCCCACAACCTTATTTCGGCCATCGAGGCCTGATCTTACACGCTCCGCTAGCAGCCCCTAAACTTAAAGCCCGATGTGTTGAGGCACGTCACAGTTCAGGGTCTAGGGTTTAGGTTTAGGGCTTGGGGTTTAGGGTTTAGGGTTTAGGGTGACAGACTTCAAACCCTAAACCTTAAACCCTGAGTCCTAAACCAGACTTCCACTACCAAACGTGGTTCGCGAGACCGCTGACGGTGACAAGGTCTCTCGAACACTTGCCGGCTCACGCCCCGGCCAGTCGTTTGCAGACACATCAGTAATATAATGACATTATAGCAATATAATGATATCATAATCATAACTGTAAGAAAATACATTGATAGTAGCAATATCATGATATAATAATCATAATGGCACTAGGATGAGACTAGTAACAATGAGAATAAATAGTAATACAGTTTTATAGTAACCATAGCAATTACGCCAAGGGTCGTGGGCGTATCCACGAGCCATTGCAGAGGACCTGACCAATGTACAGATGTACGGCTATTCGCATGAGGCAGCAGTGAACCGCACTATCCGTGCGATGCTGCTAGGCGGAGGATCCGGACGGCCACAGCCTTCTCCGAAAGATTTCAAGACTGAGCTCCCTAGTGATTGGTGTTTGCCAGTCCCATGGCAAGGAGCCCATCATGAAGGGCAGGCGAAACCCAGCGTCATCCTCAACCTCAAGGGGAAAGGTGTGACGAAAGCGAAGAAGGTTGACTTCCATGCGCTTACATCCGGCATCTTAGAATCCCAAATTTACCCAATACCCTAAGACAATGCTGAACCCTGAGGCCATATCTCCTACAAGCATACTGTTGCATCCTAAACTTCTACGCTTTAAGCAGCTTCCAAAATCTTACATCCGAAGGCCCCCCCTTCGTCCCAACATCCTTTACCTCAAAAACCTTTACTTTGACAGTCCTAACTCCTTATAGAACCTGCAAAGGAACCCAAGAAGACCCACAAGGAGACCCTCTTATACAACCCTACAGTACCCTTTAAGGGGCGCCCTATTCTAGAACCCTATGGTACCTTTTAAGGGGACGCTATTACAGAACCCAAAAGGCCAGCTTCGGAAAGCCTGCGCTGCTCTTTCCGAGGACCCTTGTGGAAGTGGAAGCCAAAGTGGGAGCGCCTAGACAGCTTAGACGAGGTTGAGGGTTTAGGGGTTTAGGGTTTAGGGGTTTAGGGGTTTAGGGTTTAGGGGTTTAGGGTTTAGCGTTTAGGGGTTAGAGTTTACAGGGGGATCTAGGTTCCCCTGTAGTACCATTTTGCACTTTTTGTTTTGCGGTCTCTTTTATGAAAACCGAGTATTAGGAAAAAGGGTGCCCTCATCGTTAAGGAGTTGCTGGGGAACCTTTGGATAGGGTGTAGGGTTTAGGGTTTGGTGTTCGTTTTTTGTTTAGACTTTCTGGTTCAATATAGAGGCCGGTCTAACTAAAAATAGGTTGGAAGGCTGTTTAAATCGACGACGGTCCTGAGCCCCCTCGACCCTAAATCCTAAACCCTAAACCCCTAAACCCCTCAACCCTATACCCTAAACCCTAAACCCCTCAACCCTATACCCACCTATACCCTAAACCCTAAACCCCTGAATCCTATACCCTAAACCTTAAACCCCCTCGCCCCTATGCCAGGTCCGAGGCCGGGTTTGGGGACCTAAACCCTGAACCCTAAACCTTTAGGGTTTAGGGTTTAGGGTTTAGGGTTTAGGGTTTAGGGTTTAGGGTTCCCTAAACCCTAATGCCTGAACTCTCGACCGTTATAGACTGGAGGGTTTTGGGCTGGAGGAGCTTCACAGAGCTTAGTGCTTGGGGCTTAAGAGCTCTCCGCCTTTGGAGTTACAGGGTCATAGGACTTAAAGGTTTAGGGCTTGTGGTTTTAGGGCTTAAGGTTTACGTTTTGATGGCTTAAAACTTAGAGCTTAGGGTTTAGGATTTAGCATAGGGTTATTAGCGTTGGGAATTTAATTGATGTTCCGAGCGCAGAGTTGCGGCTTGGTGGCCCCAAGAACCCTGAACTTGAAGCTAGAGCCCTACACCGGAGAGTCAAACTGCCTTTGTACTCAACATATAGAAGCCTGCATGATTGGCAAAGATGGTACGTCCTATGCAAAACCATGCTACAGTTTACCCCCAAATCCTATTCTACTATTCGTCAAGATGGTCGAAGTCACTTGCTTTGCAGCCGGGATGGGTGTCGTGCCGGCCATGTTACGGGCCTGTTAACACCGAAGCCCCGAACATGAAATCCTGCAGCCTAGGGGTAAAAAAGCTTTTGTCGTGGGCTTGAGGTTTAGGTTTAGGGGGTTTAGGATTTAGGAACAGCACAGGCTTGTGTTCTGAGCACAGCAGGTGTGACTGTACTGCAGAAATCATGAATGCAGAGTCTCCTAAATCTGAATCTGATGCCACTGCATATAGAGTTGTAAGATCCCGGCAAGCCAGAATTGCACATGTAGCAAGGCAATCAGAGGACGGAGCTTTTCACATGGGCTTTTAGTTCTTCTTCCCTACTGCTGGTCTTCTGCTTCAGCTTCTGTATGCAACTCTCAGCGTGGACGGTTCTATCATGTTGCTCGGTGCTACAATCGCAGGTATTCCGGCAGTGCCTGCCACCACGGCTGCCGCTAGTGCCCCCAGCTCCGAATGGCTAGCTTGGGAAGCTCAAGACCTGTACTTTATCAGCATGTTTATGGGTACTAAAGCTCAATAGGGAATAGGAACTTGCATTTTAATTCTGCTCCAACCATGAACTAGTGTAGGACTGCTTGAGGGTTCCTCGGCCGGGCAGTTGCAACAAGGGCTCTGAGTTGCAGTCGGCCTGGTCCGGCTTTGCATAACTGGTCCAATACAGCGACATGCAAGGGCCCTGTTAGTTCGAGTCCTGCGCTCATATATATATATATATATGTATGTGTGTGTGTGTGTGTGCATATACACGTTCTTAGGAATATCCGTGTTTATAGATACATGAAAAATGTACATGCGTGTGAAGGAGTCAAGGAACTTCCCTGCGACTGCTTGCCTGTTTGCTGCTCGATCCGTTTGGGTTTGTGCCCTGGGAAAGTGATGGATTTGAGTTGTCCAGGCCTGCATCCCTTGATAAACCAAGGTTTAGGGTTTAGGGTTTAGAGTGTAGGGTTTAGGGCTTAGAGTGTAAGGTTTAGGGTTTAATTAGGGTTTAGGGTTTAGGGTCAAAGAAGTCTCAGGATCCCCGCCGTAGCACCTCCAAAGCTAACCTTTCCAAATCCTCTACACAAACCCTTGAAATATCTGTAAGGCCTGGTGATGGTTACAGGCATATGCAGGCCGCGATATCAGACATGTCCTAGCATTCTGGGCCCGAAGACCGCTTCGGGTGACGGGGATTCACGGCTCTACGAATTTTGTAGTATTTTATGTTGCTCGGTGAAGGGTCTTACTTGGGGTTTCAGGGTCCAGTGTCTGCCCTAGGGCGGTCGTGGCTGAGGGTCTCAGGTTCGGGATGTATGGTTGAGGTTGCATTAGGCTTAAGGCTTAAGGCTCAGGGTTTAGGGGGTTTGGGGTTTAGGGCTTTGGGTTTGGAGTTTAGGGTTAAGGGCCTTGGGTTTAGGGTTTAGGGCTTTGGACTTAGGGTTGAGGGCTTAGGGTTTTGTGTTTTGTTCGTTTTCAAGGCGCTTTAGAAGTTGATGCGGAAGAGCTGCGAGCCCCAGGCTGCCACGCCGTATTATTCATATAGAAGCCTGATGTTTAGGGTTTAGGGTTTAGGGTTTAGGGGAATGATTACCAGAATTGTTCCTTTGGGTTCCTTATTATGATTATGCTATCAAGAACTTCAAAACCCTGTTCTAATTATTAAGGCGGTTATAGCAAGGCGTCAGAGCACCTGCAATCTTGTACCTTGGACAGCTTCGGCCTCATCCGAACTACTTACTGCGCGATTAACCCGAACCTGCAAAGCACCGTCGCCTTTAAACCGCCTGAATTGCATGCCAAGGATGCCGCGAAGTTCTTGAAAGACTTCGCCGCGCGGCGCGGGCAAGGAAGCGCCCCACAAGGCCAGATTCTAGGAAAGGTTCAGGGCTTCTAGTGCAGGGTTTAGAGCAGTTCCGATCTCTGGTACTCCTTTGCCTCAGTTTGGCCGAGGTCGGATTGAAGTTTGGGTGTTACCGGCTACTTGATCCACAGGCCCCACCGTTCCAGCAACTGCAGCCACGGCGCCGATCGCCGCGCCTGCGGCCGCCACGGTCCCAGGGACTGCAACTCGGGGGTGGCCCGAATTGTAGGTATGTCTTCGGGCTGTAGGGTTTAAGGATTTAGGACTTCAGGGGTTTTGCTACAAAAGATCAGAATCAGCACGTGAAAAGCAGCCCGATGCAGAGAGTCGGCAACCGGTAGTATCTTGCCGGAGCATGTCAGACAGGATCCCGAACTCTGGCCACACTGTTCCTTCATCATCCCTACAAATCCAGGGCTTGGAAGGTTTAGGGTTTGGGGTTCTGTAGGGGCCTAAATAACTACCAATCACTCTTTCGGGGTTTCCTTAGGATAATTACAGTATAATGGGGCCCCAAAACCCTATGTTTGTTATTAAGGCCTCGATATTAAAGGCTTAGAACCCTAAACCTATTTTGGGGGTTCCTTACTATAATTACAGTATAAGCCCTATGTTAATTATCAAGCCCCGATATTAAAGGCTTAGGACCCTAAATCGATTTAAGGTTCAGGGTAGTATGAAAAGGCCACGCCGTGCCCTAATCTCGAAATCTCAACCCTGCGAACAGTGACAGCGTTTCAAAGCTTCATAGGGTTTAGGTTTTAGGGTTTAGGGCCCTTAGCCCTGAACCCTAAACCCTACGGTTTAGGGTTTAGGGTTTAGGGTTTGGGATTTAGGGTTTTTTCAGGGTTCTCCTTGCAAACTCCAGACCCTGAGTCCCCGGCCGAAACACTGAACTACTTACCACATCATTCTCTTGAAGGCCCCAACGCTCCACCGACAATCCCTCCAAACATGGTGACCCTTCCCTAAACCCTAAGGTTTAGGGTTTAGGGTTTACTTTAAACCCTAAACCTTGAACCCTGAACCCTAAACCTGAAACCCGAAGTTTTGAAGCCCAAAGCCTAGACCTTGAACCCTCAACCCTAAACCTTAAAACCCTAAAGCTCCAACCCCAGACCCTAAACCCTAAACCCTATACCCTAACCTTACATGCGGGACTTCTGAGCCGCCGATCCAGAAAGCCAAGGATGCAGCGAAGTTCTTGAAAGATTTCGCGGCGCGGCGCGGGCAAGGAAGCGCCCCGCAAGGCCAGAGAAGAGGGTTTAGGGTTTAGGGTTTAGGGTCGCACCGTTCCGATCTCTGGCGGTAAAGGGTTTGTGGTTAGGGGTTTAGGGGTTCGGGGTTTAGGGTATAGAGTTTAGGGTATGGGGTTTAGGGTATGGGGTTTAGGGCGACTGTAGTAGGGTTCAGGGTGTAGGGGGTAGGGTAAATAGGGTGTAGGGCCAAGTAAGGTTTGGGCACCTGGCAGCCGACTGCTTGATCCACAGGCCCCACCATTCCAGCAACGGCAGCCACGGCACCGCGAGCTGCTGCATCTTCTGCTGCCCCCGCTGCCACCTCGGTTCCTGTGACTGCAACTGGCTAGCAGAACCCTCATTTACAGTTTTCACTTTCCGTATCGGGACCCTTCAGTTCTCTCGAAATCCCCACACCAATCTCAAGTCCAAAACCCTCAATCCTAAATCCCGAAACCCTAAACCCCAATCTCAAGTCCAAGACCCAACGTCCTGAACGCGAATCACCAAACCCTTATCATCGAACATGTCTAGAATCAGACGTAGCAGCTGGGCTTCCAAAGGCCCACAAGTCCCAAACTGTTCAGATTTTTTGCGACCGTTCCAACCCTCTCTTTGCGGATCTCTTGGTCAACATAGGGTTCTGAATAAGTACCAATACTGTTCTACGGGGTTCCCACTAACCCCAATTCTAACTACTAAGGCCCCTATCTACAACACACATAGACTCCCCCTAAACCCTAAACCCTAAATCCCAGCTTACAAAATCACACATTATAGACTCCCCAATGGAATCCTTGAGAACAAACCTTTCAGGGCAACCTCAGAAGTTGCCTTATCGGGTTCATGTTGAGGGTTTAGGGTTTGGGGTTTAGAGTTTAGGGTTTAGGGGTTTAGGGTTTAGGGCTTTAGGGCTTTAGGGCTTTAGGGTTTAGGGTTTTCTAGTTAGTACGGCCACAACAGTCTGGCTTCTTCGTCGGTTGCTTGGGTTCATCGGGCGACTTCCCAGGACGTTGTTTGAGAATGTCCGGTCGAGGGTGTGGTGGAGGGGCCTGAAATAGTTACCCATGGTATTCCCGCTCCCTGATGATCCAAACAAACTCTTGGTATAATCTACCCCGAAAGCACTGTTCTGGCATTTTTGGCTCTTATTCTGCATCTGGAATACAGCTCCACACAGCATCCCAAACTCGTAGCGCAAGATGAGTTTGCACTTAGGGATAGGTGTGCGGTGCTATACAAGCTACCACTAGCCCGGTTTGCGAGCGTGTTGCTGTGTAGCGCCAGAACTGAAACAGCTAGCATAAGGTCTCTGCAATATAGTAGTGGGTGCTTCACACTCCTGTGGTAGGGTTGAAAGTGTCAGGAAAGGTACCAAAACCCTCAAATCCTGTGCTCTTAGCTCCAGTAGCTAAGTGGGTAAAGCTCGGCCATGTTCAGCCTTTCTTATGTACCGCCCCCCTTCCAGAATCCCCACCCAAAGCCCCAAACGTCAAAGATCCGACCCGAATTTCCTAATTCCCTGAGCCCGAAACCCAACCTTAGTTCCCGAAGCCCTCATTTCCTTAAGCCCAAAACCCTAATTCCGCACACCCAAACCCGCCCCATACGTTGTAAAACCCAGTTTATTTTCATTCCGCACACCCGAAACCCTGATTCCGTAACGTCACTAAACCCTATATGCCCTAAAACTACACCCTAAACCCTAGACCCCTAAAGCCCTAAACTGAAACCCTAAAACCTAAACCCCAAACCCTAAGCCCTAATGTAGAAGCCATAAACCTAAACCCTAAACCTTAAACCCCCAAACCCTAAGCCCTAATGTATAAGCCCTAAACCTAAACCCCGCAACCCTCAACCCTAAACCCTAAACCCCTCAACCCGAAACCCCTCTACCGTAAACCCTAATGTAGAAGCCCTAAACCTAAACCCTAAACCCTAAGCCCTAATGTATAAGCCCTAAATCTAAACCCTCATAGCCCAAGGTCTCCTCTCTCTTCGAGGGTCCCCCGAGCCCCTCCGGTGGCGCAATCAGAGCTTCAGGGCCTCGGGGTTTCGGGTTCGCGGTTAGGGTTTAGGGTTGAGGGTTTAGGGTTGAGGGTTTAGGGTTTAAGGTTTAGGGTTGAGGGTTTCGGGTTGAGGGTTGAGGGTTTAGGGTTTAGGGCAGTGTAGGATTTCGGATCAGGGTTTAGGGTTCAGGGGCTCAGAGTTTCAGGGTGTCTGTGGCCAAGAGGTTCAGGGTTTTTGCAGGTTCTTGGGGCTTCGAGTTTCCAGGGTCTAGGATTGCTGCGAGAGGTTTGAGGGAAATGTAGGAGCCCCGACAATTACCAATCCTATTTTTGGGGGCCTCCTTACTATAATTAATTTTAGTAGAGTTAGTAGAGTATACCCCAAAACCTATTCTAATTATTAAGGCCCCTGCAGTATTGCGGTTTAGGGCGTTCTGGTTTTCTGGCCAACAAGGGGCATAGGGTTTCGTAGGAGTAGCGTTCCTTACTTGGCAGCCCGTTCCTCGGCACTCTTTCTTCAGATAAGGGTTTGTTCTAGGGTCCTTCAAGAAATCAGGCGGGATTTACGGTTATTAGGACAAGAGCAATTGGATTAAAGACTTGAGGGCAAGGGAATCCGAAAACGTGAGTTTGCCCCTCGACGCTAAATTCCGGGTTGGTTGAAGCTGGCAGCTGTTCATATTCCATGCCGGAGATACACGGTCCGAGAGGAGCCGTAGTCGTAGTCAGAACATTGCATAGTGACCAAAAGAACTAATCAATCGAAAGAACGGCAAACACGACGGCCCGTATTCTCTTTGCAGCCGCTTTATCCCATTCTTAGGCTGATGTGGCCAGTAGGCGTGCTGTGAATACGGCAGAGACTCAGCGAGAGAGAGAGAGCGAGAGAGACAAAAGGGGCAAGGGCGCTCCTTTCTCCATTAGCCCTTGCGAAAGAGAGGGAGAGAGAGAGAGAGA